ATCATCATCAGCATCATCATCATCAGCAGCAGCAGCATCATCGTCAGCATGAGCATCAACAGAAACATCATCATCATCATCAGCAGCAGCAGCAGCATCACCATCATCAGCATCATCATCATCAGCAGCAGCATCATCATCAGCATCAGCATCATCAGCATCATCATCATCAGCATCATCATCATCATCGTCATCATCATCATCAGCAGCATCATCATCGTCAGCGCCACCACCACACCCACCACCACCATCATCATCAGCATCACCATCATCGCCATCATCATCGTCGCCGTCAGCATCATCCTCATCATAAGCATCATCATCATCAGCATCAGCATCAGCATCAGCATCATCATCATCCTCAGCATCATTATCAGCATCAGCATCATCAGCATCGTCATCAGCATCATCATCAGCATCATCATCATCATCATCATCATCAGCAGCAGCAGCATCATCATCATCCAGCCCCATCCTCCTGATCCTCCTCGTCCTCCCCCTCCTGTTTCTCCTCCTCCTCCGCATCCTCGTCCTCCTCCTCCTCCTCTTCCGAGTTCCCTCCATCCGTCGCACCAAGGTCGTTTTCTCCCTCCTCCTCCTCCTCCTCCTCCTCCTCCTCCTCCTCGTCCTCCTCGTCCTCCTCCTCCTCCGCCACCTCCTCCTCCTCCGCCCTCCTCCCCTGGCCACCCCTCCCCTCCTACGCCCCCTCCTCCTCCTCTCCTCCTCCTCTCCTCCTCCTCCTCCTCCCCCTCCTCATAATAAGAATAACCATGTTAAGACTACACATAAAAATTCGCCGGCCCAACGGGCCAGGGCGTGCTAAGATCTCCGGTAACTGGTTAACAGTATTAACAGTATTTCTAGTTCGCGCGCGCGGGGCGGCCCCTGGGGGTCTCCCGGCGAAAAGTACCCCGACCAACGCCCGGTCGCCGCCCGACCGCCGCCCGACCAAGTCTACTCAGAGATGGTTTTCCTTCTGGGTGCGGCCTCTCAGGCTCCCCAGAGCGCGCTCAGAGTGCCCCAAGAGGCCCCCAAGACTGCCCAAGAGGCCCCCGAGACGCCCAAAGAGCGCTCGAAGACGCCGAAGATGACCCCAAGACGGCCCAAAAGGCCCCCAAGACAGCCCAAGAGGCCTCCAAGACGCCCCAAGAGCCTTCCAAGAGGCCTCCGAAGAGAGCCCCAAGAGGCCAAAATCGTTGATTTTCATTGGTTTTTTTCTATGTTTTTTGTGTTCTGGCTTTTTCGGCTTCCGGACGCTCCAAGACGGCCCAAGAGGCCCCCAAGACCGCTCCAAGACGGCCCACGAAGCTCCCAAGACGGCGCCGAAACGACCCAAGAGAGCCCTCAAGACGGCCCAAGTGCCGCCCAAGACGGACCAAGAGGCCCCAAGACGGGCCCAAGAGGGACTCAGGAGGGATACCGAGAACTCAAAAATGGAGCCCTCCGTCCCAGAAGGCGCCCAGGAGGTCCCAAAGAGGCCCCAAGAGGCCTCCAAGAGGCCCCAAGATGTCGCCAAGAGGCCCCAGGAGACTCCCAGGAGGCCCAAAAGAAGCCCCAGAAGGCTTCAAACATGTCTCCCAGGCGCCCCCGAACGGCCTCTCAACAGACCCCAAGAGGCCCCCCAAAGAAGCATCTTGACGACGACTCTATTTCGCCCCATCGAGAGACGACCCCCAGGGAACTGCTTCACCATCAAAACTCCCCACGCAACGCGTCCGAACGACACCCGCCCCCAAGAGCGCAACATGGGCAACGAACACACAGACAAAAACCAGCGATGCCATATCACGGGCCGGCGGAATGAGCGAAGCGATTCAATATTGATGGTAGTAATAATAATAATGATAATAATAATAATAGTAATAATAGTAATAATAGTAATAATAGTCACCTTTCTCCTTCACATCATCCTCCACATCCTACGCTTTCGCCTTCTCCTCCTCCTAGTTATCTGCAGCCATTCTCCGCCTCTCTTATCTCATGTTCCTCCTCTTCATCCTCCTTCTTCTCATCATCCTCGTCTTGGTAGTCTTCTTCTCATGATTGTTTGTATCAGCCGTGTTACCGTTCATCACATGTTTATCCATCAGGATTCTTACTGTCATCCTCTTGAATTGATATGTCGAGTGGTGATGTGATTGATAATATTAGTAGTACGGGTACATGTCGCATTCTTCCCCTCGATCTTAATAGTATGAATGTGCTTCCTATTATTCCTCCGTCTCCGCCTCCTTCATCAGCAATGACAGCAGAATCCTCATCAGCATCAGCTGTGGCATCGTCATCATCATCATCAGCAGCATCATCATCATCATCATCAGCATCATCATCATCCGAATCAGCATCAGAAGTATCCCCATCACCATCAAAATCATCGTCATCATCAGCATCATCATCATCATCATCAGCATCATCATCATCAGCATCATCATCAGCACTATCATCATCGTCAGCATCAGCAGCGTCATCATCAGCAGCAGCATCATCATTAGCATCATCATCATCATCAGCAGCAGCAACAGCATCATCAGCAGCATCGGCATCATCATAAACAACAGCATCACCGCCATCATCAGTCAGCGTCAGCATCATCATCAACAACAGCATCACAATCTGTATCAGCATCATCATCATCATCATCATCATCATCAGCATCATCAGCATCGTCATCAGCAGACGCATCATCATCATGCGCAGCATCAGCATCATCATCAGCAGCAGCATCGTCCGCCACCTCCTCGTCATAATCCTCATCCTCCCCCGCATCGTCAGCATCATCCGCATCATCGCCAGCATCAGCATCGGCAGAAGCACCAGCAGCAGCAGCATCAGCATCATCAGCATCAGCATCGCCATCGTCGTCATCAGAATCATCGGCATCCGCATCATCATGTGCAGCAGCATTATCAGCATCATCATCGGCATCAGCATTAGCACCATCATAATCTTCATCAACATCATCACAATCATCAGCATCATCAGCATCACCATCGGCATCGTGAGAATCATCATCATCGTCAGCAGCATCGTCATCGGCATTATCACCAGCATGGTCAGCAGCACCATAATCGTCAGCAGCGTCAGAATCATTATCATCAGCATCATCATCATCAGCGGCATCATCAGTGTCATCGTCAGCATCATCATCAGCATCATCCCCATTATCCTCATCATCATCAGCATCAGCATCATCCTCATCATCTTCATCGTCATCAGCATCATAAACCGCATCATCATCGGCAGCAGCATCATCATCGTCAGCACCAAATGCAGCAGAATCATCATCACCACCACCACAATTGCCGTCGTCATCGCCGCCGCCATTAACAACAACAACAACGCCAACAACAACAACAACAACAACATCATCATCAACAACAGCGTCGCCATCACCATCAGCAGCCGCAGCGGCAGCATCGTCATCATCATCAGCAACAGCAGCAGCATCAACAGCAGCATCATCATTAGCAGCCACGTCATCACCATCAGCCGCGTCAGAATCAGAGCCAGCATCATCATCAGCAGCATCAGCATCAGCATCAGCACCAGCAGCATCATCATCATCATCATCATCATCATCATCATCAACAACTTCATCGTCATCGGCATCATCAGCAGCAGCACCAACATCAGCCGCAAAATCATCAACGTCATCAGCATCAGCACCAGCATCAGCATCATCCGCATCATAACCGTCATCAGTATCATCATCAGCATCATGATCAGCATCATCAGCATCACCAACATCAACAGCACCACTATCAGTAGCAACAGCCTCGGCGGTATCAGCATCAACCTCATCATCATCATAGGCAGCATAACCGTCAACATCCTCCATCATCAGCATCAGCATGTCATCAGCATCATCGGCAGCAGCATCTGCATGAACATCAGCATCATCATCCTCCACCATCAAAATCGTCAGTGGCATCAGCATCAGCACCGGCATCGTCATCGTCATCATCGGCATCATCATAGGCAGCATCAGCATCATCATCATCATCAGCAGCATCATCATCATCAGAATCAGCATCAGCATCGTCAGTTTCGGCACCAACCTCCTCCGCCTCCTCCGCGTCCTCCTCCTGCCCCTCCTCCTCCTCTTCCCTCCACCTCCTCCTCCTCCTACCCGTATTCCTCCTCCTGCGCGTCCTCCTCCTCCTCCTCCTCCTCCTTCTCCTCCTCCTCCTTCAGTCTTCCTCCTCCTCCTCCTTCCCCCCTCATTCTCCTCCTCCTCCTCATCCTCCTCCCCCTCCTCCTCCGCGTCCTCCTCCTCCTCCTCCTCCTCCTCCTCCTCCTCCTCCTCCTCCTCCTCCGCCTCCTCCTCCTCCTCCTCCGCCTCCTCCTCCTCCTCCTCCCCCTCCTCCTCCTCCTCCTCCTCCTCCTCCTCCTCCTCCGCCGGGCGGGGTGGGCGGCGGCCAAGCGAGGGAGCCCGAGGGGAGCGAGCGGCCAGCAGGCAGGCGTGGGCGGCCAGGGGGGTGGGGGGGAAGGAAGAGAGCGGGCGACGACAGCAGGGGCAGCTGGAGGGAGAGCGCGCGGCGAGGGCGCGGCGGAGGGGAGGAGGCGGCCAGCGGAGGTGGAGCAGGGGCGCGTGGGCAGGAGCAGGCAGGGGCGGCATCAGAGGATCGGCCATGGCAGCAGCAGCCCTGGCATGGAGCGTGCTCCCTCCAGGCCCAGGCCAGGGGGGGTCTACGGTCGGGATCTTCTGCTCAGCGTGTCGCGGCGGCGGCCCCGGCGACACGCTATGCCCGGCAGGCTGATAGCGTGACGCTCCGCTCCGCGGGTCGGGAGGCTGGGAAAAACTCGAGAGGTTTACGCTCGGGGACGGGTACGTGGATAGCGTGTCGCGCTGAAGCGTGGTGGGCCAGAACCTGCGGCACGACACGCAAAACCGAGGTTCCTGACCGTACGCACCATCCTTGGGCCCAGGATAGGCCTGGCCAGGCATGACAGTGGTACACAAGTGCCATCTGCGGATTCCCTGCTCGCCCCGACCAGACCTCCTGCTTCAGCTCTGCCAGCTCGCGCTTCAGGCGCGCGATCAGCAGCTTCGGGTCCAGCTCCTCGTTCACCTGACCCAAGGCAGACAGCGAAAAGAGCAGCATCGAATCGATAAGTCGGATGGGACATGAACGCGCGTCGAAGTCGAATCGGGCCGTGTCGGCATGCAGTCCAAGATTCGCAACAACACCATGCAAGAATCGGGCCGCATCGGATCGTCGGAATCCCTCCAGCCCTCTGAGCGGAGGTGGTTTAGAGCGTGTCCTCTTCCACTCCCCTTGTTCCCCTTCGGGAAGGGGTCTACCCCTTCCCCTCCCCCCACCCCTGGGTCTGGCAAAGGGTCTTTTTTCGCCCAAGATGGCTCCAAGAGGGCCTCCGATGCTCAAAGATGGCCTCCAAGATTGCTCCCGATAGCCCAAAGATGGCACAAGGTGGCATCCAGCATGCTCCAAGCAGCCCCATAGACAGGTCCAAGAGGGTTCAGAGTGCTCTCGGAGCCCCCGTCAAGACCCTTCAAGAATCAAAAAAATCCATCAAATGAGATTCCGATGCGCTTTTGAAGCCCCAAGATAGGACCAAAATGACCCACAGCGAAACCCAAAAGGGTCCCAAAAGGCCCCCAGACGGCCCCAAGAGCGCCCAAGAGCGCCCCAGGAGAACCCCTAGAGGGCCCCAAGAAGCGATTCTGAGGGCACCAACGGGGAGAAGCAAATCAAGGACCGCCTCCAAGATGGCCTCAAGAGGCCCTCCAAGGCTCCCAAGAGGGCCCCAAGAGAGCTTCAAGAGGGCCCCAAGAGGGCGCCGTGTTATCCTCCTAAGGAGCCCCAAGAAGACCCCAAGAGATCTCCACGGAGCCCCAAGAAGCCCCAAGGAGCCCCAAAAGATCTCCACGAGGGCCCCGAGAGAGTCCCGAGAGAGCCCCAAGAAGACACCAAGAGGGCCTCACGAAGACCCCCAGGTGGTAGCGAGTCCTTGTCCTCGTCCTCTTCCTCCTCCTCCTCCTCCTCCTCCTCCTCCTCCTCTCCTCCTCCCCTCCTCCCTCCTCCCTCCTCCTCCTCCTCCTCCTCCTCCTCTCATCCTCCTCTTCCTCCTCTGCCTCCTCCTCCTCCTCACCCCCTCCTCCTCCTCCTCCTCCCTCTTCGTCTTCTTCGTGTGTCTTCGTAGTATGATTCCTCTTCCTCCTCTCCTCCTCCTCCTCCTCCTCCGCCTCCGCCCTCCGCCTCCTCCTCCTCCTCCTCCTCCTCCTCCTCCTCCTCCTCCTCCTCCTCCTCCTCATCCTTACGATTATGATCAGCATTATTATTATCCCACCGGCACTCTGGGCGCAGGTGGTCTAGAGCGTTTCCGTTTCCAACATCCTGCCTTTCCCTGCTCGGGAGGTTTACCTCCCCCCCCTCCATGCGTTTGGACGGGGGGGGCCCGACCCATAGCAGCGTCCAAGATGGCCCAAGATGGCCGCAAGATGGCCTCCAAGATGGCCTCCAAGATGGCCCAAGATGGCGGTAGAGGGCTCAAGATAGCCTCCGACACGCATCCAAGAGGCCTCAAGACGGCCCCAAGACGGTTTCAAGTGCCATCCGAGCACTCCGAGGACCCCCCAAGAGGCCAAAATCATTCAAAAACCAAAAGATAAATCAATGTATGTTGCATTATCGCTTGTTCGCCTCCGAGGGGCTCTTGAGGCCTCAAGATGGCCCCAAGATGGCCCAAGACAGCCCCACGAGGGGCCCAAGAGGGCCCCAAGACGGCCCCAAGAGCGCCCAAGAGCGCTCCAAGAGCGGGCCAAGAGAGCCTCAAGACGGCATGTTTGAGCTTCCGAGGGGGCGACAGGAATTAAGGACCCCCGTTTTTTTAGCGTTTGGGTCCAAGACGGCCCCACAAGGCCCCACAGGCATCCCAAAAGAGCCCCAAGAAGGCCCCCAGACCCCCCAAAAGAGCCCCAAGAGGACCCCAAGACGCCCCCCCAAAAAAACCCAAGAGGGCTCCAAGAAGGCCCTAAGAGGACCTCAAGAGAGCCCCAAGAAAGAGCTCCAGGAGGGCCCATCGTAGCACCATCGAAGCACCATCGTAGCTTGCACTGAGTTCCATCTTAAACTGCAATGCGGGAAGCTCGTTGTGATCCTTGTGTTCCCGAAGACGGCTGCGCGACTGCATGCGTCCTGCCGCCCCTGATTCACCGACTCCCCTGCTGATCGTTTCTGGATGGGCTGGTGGGGATACGCGAAGCGTCAAGAATTATCAGTATTAGTCTCAGTCGTCATTTCTGAGTCGCACTGTTCTTATGACAATAAATGTTAGCATGGGTAGCTTTAGTATGCTTATTCGGTTGCGTATGCTTGGTCTGCTTATTAGTACTAGTTGTAGTACCATCATTCTTAATATGGCTCTTATTATGGCCCTGTGAATTATTGTTGGTGACACAAATGAGTATAATAAACATAATCATGAGCAGAATAATAGTGGAAATACATGCATAAACAAATCAAACAATTTAGTGGAACTTAAAATATGAATGAAAAAGTTACAAACAATACTGATAACAATGCCATCATCCTCCTCCTGCTCCTCCTCCTCCTCCTACTCCTTCTTCTCCTCCGCCGCCGTCGCCTCCGCCGCCGCCTCCACCTCCGCCTCGTCCTCCTCATCCTCCTCCTCCTCCTCCTCCTCCGCCTTCTTCTCCTCCTCCTCGTCCTCCTCCTCCTCCTCCTCCTCCGCCTCCTCCTCCTCTTCGTTACTCTTTTCGTCATCGTCCGCATCCTCGTCCTCTTCACCGTCCTCGTTTTCGTCCTATTCCTCGTCCTTGCCCTCGTCGTCCTCCTCGTCCGATATCATCATCCTCCTCGTCTTCTCCTCTTCAACTTCCTCCCTCTCCTCCTCTTTCTCGTTTCCTCCTCCTCCTCCTCCTCCTCCGCCTGCTCCTCCTTCTCCTCGTCCTTCTCCTCTTGTTCGTCCTCCTCCTCCTCCTCCTCCGCCTCCTCCTCATTCTCCGTCCTGCCCTCCTCCTCCTCCTCCTCCTCCGCCTCCTCCTCCTCCTCCCCTCCTCCTCTCCTCCTCCTCCCCCTCCTGCCACCTCCCCTCCTCTTCCTCTCATTCTCCTCCTCCTCCTCTACCTCCGCCACCGCCTCCTCCTCCTCCGCCTCCGCCTCCTCTGCCTCCTCCTCCTCCTCCTCCTCCTCTGTTTCCTCCTCCTCCTCCTCCTCCTCCTCATCATCATCCTCCTCTTCTTATTGGTAATAGCGTTCGTCTTCTTATTAATATGATTGTCCTTATTAGTAGTAGTATGACTAGTATGTTTATGTTTAGTGTTAGTAGTCTTAGTCTTCGTCTTAGTAGTAGTAGTAGTAGTAGTAGTAGAAGTAGTAGTAGTAGCAGTAGTAGTAGTAGTCGTAGTAGTAGTAGTAGTAGTAGGAGTAGGAGTAGTAGTAGTAGTAGTAGTAGTAGTAGTAGTAGTAGTAGGAGTAGGAGTAGTAGTAGTAGTAGTAGTAGTAGTAGTAGTAGTAGTAGTAGTAGCCCCCTTACTACTATTAGTACGATTGTCATTAGTAGTGGTAGTAGTATTGTATGAGTCGTCGTATTCGTGTTATTTTGATTCGTCTCGCTCTTTGTCTTATTCGTATTTGTCCTCTGCATATTAGTATGGTTCGTATTATTATGCTTACTCGTCTTATTATTCGTAATGCTAGTTTATTGTTATTCGTCGTATCCTTATTTTTCGTATCTACCTAGCAGCGAAGACTGATAGGTTTCTAGTGGGCTCAAAAGAGAGCATCTTGACTCCCCAGGGGGGTCTGGGCGGATGCCGGGGAGAATCCGGGGACTCCCCGGGACACCCCAGGGGGGTCTGGGTGGGTGCCGGGGAGGATCGGGGGACTCCCCAGAACACGATTCCCGGGCCACATTTTGAATGCCCGGAGCCAACTGTAGGCCACTTCTTGTTCTTCGTGTTCCCAGAACAGCACTACTCACAGGCCACATGTTGAATGCCCGGAGCCAACTGTAGGCCACTTCGTGTTCTTCGTCTTCCCAGAACACCACTCCCAGGCCACATTTTGAATGCCCGGAGCCAACTGTAGGCCACTTCGTGTTCTTCGTGTTCCCAGAACACCATTCCCAGGCCACATTTGAATGCCCGAGCCAACTGTAGGCCACTTCGTGTTCTTCGTCTTCCCAGAACACCATTCCTGTACCATATTTTGATTGCCCGGAGCCAACTGTGGGCCACTTCGTGATCTTCGTGTTCCCAGAACACCAGTCCTGTGCCATATTTTGAATGCCCGAGCTGAGGCAGGCTGAGCAGGCTGAGGCCGAGGCAGGCTGAGGCTGAGGCTGAGGCACGCCGAGGCAGGCTGAGGCTGAGGCTGAGGCAGGCTGAGGCTGAGGCAGGCTGAGGCTGAGGCTGACGCAGACTGAGGCCGAGGCAGGCTGAGGCTGAGGCTGAGGCAGGCTGAGGCTGAGGCAGGCTGAGACTGAGGCTGAGGCAGGCTGAGGCTGAGGCTGAGAGGCTACGCTGAGGCTGAGGCGAGGCTGAGGCGGAGGCTGAGGCCGAGGCAGGCTGAGGCTGAGGCTGAGGCAAGCCGAGGCAGGCTGAGGCTGAGGCCGAAGCTGAGGCAGGCTGAGGCTGAGGCTGAGGCTGTGGCTGAGGCTGAGGCAAGCTGCGGCTGAGGCAGGCTGAGGCTGAGCTGATGCAGGCTGAGGCTGAGGCAGGCTGAGGCTGAGGCTGAGGCAGGCTGAGGCTGAGGCTGAGGCCGAGGCAGGCTGAGGCTGAGGCCGAGGCAAGCCGAGGCAGGCTGAGGCTGAGGCTGAGGCTGATGCTGAGGCAGGCTGAGGCTGAGACAGGCTGAGGCTGAGGCTGAGGCAGGCTGAGGCTGAGGCAGGCTGAGGCTGAGGCCGAGGCAGGCTCAGGCCGAGACAGGCTGAGGCTGAGACTGAGGCTGAGGCTGAGGATGAGGCCGAGGCAGGCCGAAGCTGAGACAAGGTGAGGCTGAATGGGGGGGAAGGGGGGGGGAGGAGGGGAGGGAGGCTGAGGCAGGCTGAGGCCGAGGCAGGCTGAGGCCGAGGCAGGCTGAGGCTG